TGGCACCTATTTCTAGATTTCGGTATTTTTTTAAACTAACTACAGATTGTGATCTCTTGATAAATATCGACCAGTATGTAATGATTTAATATTTACGTTGTTGCTTTAGAGCCTTATCTTTATAGAAAAATAAAGGTTGAATTGACTTACATGCTAAATGCTCAGTCTAAGCTAGTAAAAACCATATGTAATTTCATAACTCAAGCTACCATATAGTGGCAATTACTTGAACTGTATGCAAAATGTCTAGGTAGACTAAGAACTAGTCTTATAAAATCATCTAAGTGGCATCAAATGTTTCACATTCCCATCTTAATGGCTGAATTCCGTCCCTAAAAGGTACTTAAGAAGGATCATTAACTACTTTAGCCTCCTTTAACTAAATTATCATACATGAAATATTTGTCCTCCAAAAAAATTTGTTTGTAAAGTTTCATAATCAAACCATATTTCCCATTGATGCATTTACTAAGTTAAGCAAAGATATAGCATCTACTACATTTGACGTACTCAAATGATTGCTACTCTACGTGCTATCTGTGGTAAAGAAGGCATTTTGCTTGCCAGCTCAGTGTTAGGATACAGGGATAAGTGAAAAAGAAATCTGTGTCCTCCTTCTCATTACACATGCAGAGGCACTATCATGTAAGAAACAGTCCTACCAGTAACAAGGTAATAAAGACCAGTTTTATTCTTCCAATTATCTATTTCATAATAGCAAACTTCCCTATTGTAAATTGTCATAGAATTAAGAGCATCTCTATTAGATAGTAATAACCACAAAAGATAACTTTGGTTTTTGTTGTTGCCCACATAGCTAATTATCATTTAATTCATCAACAAGTCTCTTGAGAAATAGAAAGCCATTTGTTTAGTACTGTGCTAACAGGTACAGAAGATATAGCAATCCAACAATCTAGTAAAAGAAACAAAATCAATGCATATAAAACAGTGAAAGACATGACTAAGCTTATAATTAAAATACGAGAATTTTTGCTTATACTAAAAACAATTAGTTTAAGGAAAATTAACACAACTCTATAGGTCAAAAGCATATCAAAATGTGTGATATTAAATTACAGTAAGTTTCCTTACTTGAGCCTTTAGGCTTTGTAGTTGTCCTTCATAATTCTGAGTCATTGCTAAATTACATTTTTCCAGACTGTCCAATTTCTGTCGAAGTAACCCTACCTGCATGAAGAATAAAATTTAATTTTGCTTTTTCTAAATTTTGCCTGACAAAATCAGAAAATGTGCAAAAGAGAAGCACGATTCAAAACAAAACGGCTGTACCAAACCAAGAGTAAATATTTGTACTGCACTTCTTAAAATAGCTATCAATAATGAAATTCACAAAAACCAAACATTCTAGCACTATTCCACAAGGTACATATTAGGACAGTATGGATGTTTAACAAAAGATCCTTATCATCATCACATTTAAAATTCAGGGTTAGAATTTGCTTTGCATTATCCTTTTGGGAGGCTACGTCATTGTTAGCCAGGCAAAACCTCTACCAATATAATTCGGCTTTTTTTCCTCCATTACCTTCAAGAGGATCTGTGTTTTAGTGGTATTATGAAATAATTGTTATATTTTTATAATAACTAATGCATTAAAAAGAAAAATTGTCTAAGAGCAGTTCCTACGGATTTGGCTTATATAATCTGTCTACTTAAAAGGCAGATGAGGCACTTGTTTACATATTACGTATAAAAGCTAGAATAATAGTCTATTGCATATGCCATGTCTGATAACCTACCTCTACTGTAGGAAAACTACATGCCAATAACTAAGTTACCTATGCCAAATGATAATACAGTTAACTATGCCAAAGAAACTAAGCTCCACTGAGCAGTCAATAAAGGTAGAAAAATGGCTGATGAACAAGTTAACTAATGATATTTTATTACAGTACATTATTAGCAAACATTTCTCTTAAACATTTCTTTTTCCAAAAGAAAAATTCACAGACACAAAGTCCACATTAGATAAAGCATATAGTTTTCCTGAACTCCTTCGCAGGCCTGGGAGAACTCATACATTCTTCTGTGACCACCAGCTTGGCAGTGAGCAGCCTAGAGGGACTGAGGGAGCTCCTCTTAAGTGGTTGTCCCAGGTATACACACATACCCCTTTACCAAACTCTTTCCCCTTTGTCCTATAATCAATTCTTGATGTCTTCTATTTTTTTCTAGCCTATTAGAAGAAGCAAATGTTTCTGAACTCTTCCTTGTCCAGCTTTGATGATTACAAATTCTTTGTTTCTACAGCAGCAAAAGTACTTACATCTTTCCTTGCAAACAGTATTTTATACATATATTAAATGTTTGTTTACTTTTATACATGACATTGACACTATATATCTGTCTTCATCAGCAAATATCCATGGATTTAGGCTCTGATTGTCACTTATTTGATATAAGACATTTAGCATATAATTTGCTGAATTTCAAGCAATAAATGTTGCTGATGCCTGATAAAAAGCATGTATAATAAAAACATATTCTGATAGAATACTATACATAACAGTCTGATGAATTATCAGTTTGTTAACATATGTATTCAGTACCTCTTGACCTTTCTGATCCAAACAAGTTTGTGCATTTGCCAATTCTTGATCTCGAAGATCTAATCGTGTCTCCAAAGCCCGCATCTTTCTTTCCCAATCCAATTTTTTGTTGCTTACCATGATGTCAATTTGTTCCATTAATTCCTGAAGCTCGGCCTCACAAGGAGAAGTTCTGGCAATTGTAGGAAAGTAAAATACATTTTAAAGTGGTGAAAGGTGAGGGCAAAAAAAATTATTACATTGCTCTGTATGGCTTGATCATTATTTCCTGAAATTATTCAATTATTTAAATGGGAATAATTCAAAAGCTGAAGGTTAATTTTTAAAATTAATACTCAAAGCCAACTTCAGAGCTAACAGTGTATACATACTTTTTTAAAAATAACATTTTTTAGAGTAGACTAATTCTAAAGAATATGCTAATTATGAAAAATCATAAGACTTAGCTTTAGGATCAATGCTCTTTCATATAGATACAGGTGTACTTATGTCTATCATAACTTCAAAAGTTTTGACAGAAGCAAACTAGGATATCAGACGTGTCTGTTAAGGATAGAAGAGCAGGCCTGGACTAGTTAGGACCAGATTCAAGGGTACCAACTGCGCTATAGTGCTGCTCCTCAAGGAGAGGAATTTGGCATGATATGGCCGGTGTCTGTTTCTAAGGAATTTAATCAGGCAGTGATATGGTTTGGCAGTGTTCCCCACCAAAATCTCAACTTAAATTGTATCTCCCAGAATTCCCATGTTATGGGAGGAACCTGGAGGAGGTAACTGAATCATGGGAGCTGGTCTTTCCTGTGCTATTCTCATGATAGTGAATAAGTCTCACAATATCTGATGAGTTTATTAGGGGCTTCCACTTTTGCTTCTTCCTAATTTTCTCTTGCCTCCATCAAGTAAGAAGTGCCTTTTGGCTCCCATCATGATTCTGAGGCCTCCCCAGCCATGTGGAACTGTAAGTCCAATTAAACTTCTTCTTCCTAGCCTCAGGTATGTCTTTATCAGCAGCATGAAAACAGACTAATACAGTAAATTGGTACCAGTAGAGTGGGGTGTTGCTGAAAAGATACCTGAAAATGTGGAAGCAACTTTGGAACTAGGTAACAAGCAAGAGTTTAGAGGGCTCAGAAGAAGACAGAAAAATTTGGGAAAGTTTGGAATCTCCTAGAGACTTGCTGAATGGCTTTGACAAAAATGCTGATAGTGATATGAACAATAAGGTCCAGGCTGAGGTGGTCTCAGATGGAGATGAGGAACTTGTTGGGAACTGTTGCAAAGGTGACTCTTGTTATGTTTTATAAAAGAGACTGGTGGCATTTTGCCACTCCCCTAGAGATTTGTGGAACTTTGAACTTGAGAGAGATGAATTAGGGTGTCTAGCAGAAGAAACTTAGGGTATCTGGCAAAGCATTCAAGAGGTTACTTGGGTGCTGTTAAAGACATTCAGTTATAAAAGGGAAACAGCATAAAGTTCAGAAAATTTGCAGCCTGATGATGCAGTAGAAAAGAAAACTCCATTTTTTTGAGGGGAAATTCAAGCTGGCTCCAGAAATTTGCCTAAGTAGCAAGGAGCCTAAGGTTAAGCCCCATGACCATGGGGAAAATGTCCCCAGGACTTGTTAGAGACCTTCACAGCAGCCCCTCCCATCACAGGCCCAGAGGCCCAGGAGAAAAATGTGGTTTCATGGGCCAGGCACAGGGTCCCCGTTCTGTGTGCAGCCTAGAGACTTGATGCCCTGTCTCCCAGCTGCTCCAGCCATGGCTGTAAGGATCCAATGTAGAGCTTGGGCTGTGACTTCAGAGGGTGGAAGCCCCAAGCCTTGGCGGCTTTCACGTGCTGTTGAGCCTCCAGGTGCACAGAAGTCAAGAATTGAAGTTTGGGAACTTCTGCATAGATTTCACAAGACATATTGAAATGGATGCCCAGGCAGAAGTTTGCTGCAGGGGCGAGGCCCTCATGGAGAACCTCTGCTAGTGAAGTGCTGAAGGGAAATTTGGGGTGGTAGTCCCCACACAGGATCCCTACTGAGATACTGCCTATTGGAGATGTGAGAAGAGGGCCATTGTTCTCCAGACCCCAGAATGGTAGATCCACCACCAACTTGCACTGTGGTAATTGAATCATGGGGGGCTGGTCTTTCCCATGCTGTTCTCGTGATAGTGAACAAGTCTCATGAGATCTGATGGGTTTATCAGGGGTTTCTGCTTTTGCCTCTTCCTCATTTTCTCTTGTCTCTGCCCTGTAAGAAGTATCTTTCACCTCCCACTGTGATTCTGAGGCCTTCCCAGCCATATGGAACTGTAATTTCAACTAAACCTCTTTTTCTTCCCAGTCTCAGGTACATCTTTATCAGCAGCATGAAAACAAACTAATACAGGCAGGTATGGGGAGATACTGAAGTATTTAGACAGTGAGGTTACTATTAGTCATATACATAGTAATATCTTGGGTCTAGCAGGGTCTATTGCGTTTCAAACAAAATGCTTAGTATAACAGCTAGGATTATAGCAACTGTTGTTAAGAAGACAGATTGGTAACGGCTCTCACTACAGAGTTCTTTTTCAAAGAAGCTGAAGCATTCTCTAGGGAGCTGGCATAAGTCCAGTCACTCAGACTGGATAAGCAGGTAGATATTGAGGCCTTAGACTTCAGCCTAAGGAACATACAGATGCCCACATTAGAAAAGCAAGTTATTTCAGCATTCATTTAATGGTGGTAATGAGGCTTCTAATGTATTTGTGTAGCTGGGAGGAGGCTATGAGAAAGAGGCAGGTGCAGCATGACAGCATTTCCTCCATTTAGTCTTACCAAATCAGAATTTTAGAGCTAATTAAGAATAATTTAGCGTTTTGATAAAACTCAAGCTCAGAGAGGCCCAAGGTCACACAGCTAATTAGTGGAAGAGCCAGAACTAGATATGAGGCAGCTGCTTCCCATTTAATGTGTCTTCCTGTATACCACACAGCAAAATACATGGTGTTTTGAATAAGAATATGCTTGAGAAATACAGTACAAATTCATTCCATTGCAATAAAGTTAGAAACAGGTATTAAAATCCAAAGAATTTAGAATTTCCAGACTCATTTTCTAAGATATCCAGAGTCAACCCAAACAGAAGATGTTCCTTTGGTTTATTCAATTCAATATTCACCAGTTTTGACAGCAGAGAGGTTTTAAGTACAAAGTGCCATTCTGAAATCTTCTCCTAGCATTTCTGGAGGAATGTTAGGCTCAGAGGCTTTCAATTTTTACTTAAAACCTAAAACAAATCTGACAAAAGGATGTATACTAGTTCCTCTATAAATAACTTGATTGAATTTTAAGACTGAATTTTACTTGGAATTATAATGTAGGGGGAAAGAATAGAACTATGGGCTGGTGTTTTCTCACCATTTTTCTTCTTCATGACAACATATATCACCCTGTATTTTAAGTATATTTTGTGTATTCTTTCCCTTCTGAAGAAAAAAGGACTATGTCAATGTAAGCTCTAGGAAAAAAGAACTATATTAGTCTGGTTCATCATCATCTCACCAGAGCAGATGTTCAAAAAATCTCTGAAGAATGAATGAGTTCCTTTAATTGCTAACTTTGACATGTAAGAATGTACCATGCTAAGAAAGTTAAAATACAGGCTTAAAGTAGAGTGTAGACATAATGTAATCTACTCAATCAATATTGCTCAATGAATGAATGGTTTATTTCCTGTTATGACTATGCTATGCAAAAGTCAGAATGTTAGACTCTCTTAATATATATATTTATATATAATTTATATATTTAAATATATGAATTAAATATATAACTATATAGTTTTTAAATAATAAATTAAATAATAAATTTTATATACTTTATATAATTAAATATATAATTAAATTAATATATGTATATATAATATATACATTTAAATATATAAACATATTTATTAAAATTTACATAAAATACATATATATATTATATATATAAATATACAATAAAAATATACATATATATATATATTTTTGAGATAGTGTCTCACTCTGTTGACAGGCTGGAGTGCAGTAGCATGATCTTGGCTCACTGCAACCTCCACCTCCCAGGTTCAAATGATTTTCCTGCTTCAGCCTCCTGAGCAGCTGGAACTATAGGAATGTGACACCATATCTGGCTAATTTTTTTTTTGTATTTTTAGTAGAGACAGGGTTTCATCACATGTTGGCCAGGCTGGTCTCAAACTCCTGACGTCAGGTGATCCACCCACCTCGGCCTCCCAAAGTGCTAGAGTTACAGGCGTGAGCCACTGCACCTGGCCCCTCTACAAATATTTCTTAAAAGAATCATCTATCATACACTACTGATCAGATTCAGCAGGTCTAGGACAGAGCCTAAGGTTCTGCATTGGTAACAAAAGTATCAAGTGATTCTGATGCATGCCAAAGTTTGTGACCTCTTTTTCAATATCACTAAAAAGAAGTTATCCAGCCTAGGTCTAAATTCTCCCCTTAACAGGTAACCACTATCTGAGATTGTAACTAGACAGTAATGTGTTTTAGAAAGATCTTTTTTGTATTGAAGAACTTTTCCATCCATTGGTCCTAATTTGATCGCATTGATTCCACTGAGACCATTCAGGACAAATGCCGTTTCAACACAGTAGTCATTAAAGTGCTTGAATATAGTCATTGGTGTGTCAAATACAGTTTTAAGTGTACTTCCAGTCGTCTTTTGTTAGTGTTTAATATTAGAGTCTGAATATACAAATGGGAAACAATCAGACCACAAGACAGTAGACCATGACCCATAATTTCTGCAACAACATCACCAGTCCAAAAAGCTAAGCCACAAAATCTGCAATTGTCCCATAATGGTCAGGGCTTGATCACTGACTGCCAGCTTCCCTAATTTCTGTCACCACTTCCAGCTCAGGACAAACTAGAGAAAGCCAAATATACGCCTCAAAACAATCCCCTAAGCTACCCCAGTTTTAGTTATTCCGCCTCCAGCCTCTACACACCAACACCCTCCAATGAGGGCACATCTGAAGCATTCTTCCTTTTTTTACCATAAAGCTTTTCCACTCCTCTGCCTCCCTTTGAGTCTCTGCCAAATGCAAGTGATAGTGGGTGAATCCCTTGGTATAGCAAGCTCTGAATAAATAAATAACTTCAGTTGTTTTCATTTGGGTGGTCTTTATTTATTTCCACAAATATTTTTATTTCCTTCTTTCTCCTAGAGATTTTTTCTTCCCCACTCTATGCTCGCTATCCAGTATACAGCCTGAAAAATACAAGAGGCTTAATACACACTTGCTGAATGAAAAAAAAAAATGAATGACTATGGTAAGATTTTCAGACACTTCATAATTCTAACTCTTCTTTGATCAAGTTTTTTTGGTCAGTTTCATCCTTGAAATGTACCATTTGGAACTTAAACATAATACCACAGATGTGGTCTGATCAGCTCAGAGGGGGTCTCACAGATCCTTTGGTTTAGGTGCCATATATTTTTATTTAACCAGATGGAGATCACATTAGTTAAATTTGGGAGTGGAAAGAGTAAAGCAGTGATATCACATTGTTTCAAGGTGGGTTTATTCTTGTCTGAAAATCTTATTTCTTTTGAAAGAAAGACTGGAGAAAATGAAAATGCAAGCTTGGTTTGAGATGCCTGTTATATGTCCAAGTGAAGACGTTTGTTATATTTCCAAGTGAAGCTGCCAAATTTACAAGAAAAAAACAAGCCCATCAAAAAGTGGGCAAAGGATATGAACAGACACTTCTCAAAAGAAGACATACATGCAGCTAACAAACATATGAAAAAAGGTTCAACATTACTTATTGTTAGAGAAATGTAAATTAAAACCATAATGAGATGCCATCTCATGCCAGTCGGAATGGGCATTATTAAAAAGTAAAAAAATAACAGAAGCTGGCGAGGTTGCAGAGAAAAAGAAACATTTTATACACTGTTTATGGGAGTATAAATTAGTTCAATCATTGTGCAAGTCAGTGTGGTGATTCTTGAAAGACCTAAAAACAAAAATTCCATTCAACCCACAAATCCCATTGCTGGTTATATACCAAAGGAATACAAACTGTTCTGTCTTAAAGACACATGCAAACATTATGTTCATTGTAGAACTATTCACAATAGCAAAGACATGGAATCAACCTAAATGCCCATCAGTGGTAGATGGAATAAAGGAAATGTGGTTCATATATACCATGAGATAGTATGCAGCCATAAAGAGAACAAGATCATGTCCTTTGTAGCTACATGGATGGAGCGTGAGGCCATTATCCTTAGCAGACCAACATAGGAACAGAAAAGGAAATATTGCATGTTTATCACTTGTAAATGGGAGCTGAATGATGAGAAGACATGGATGCACAGAGGGGAACAACAGACATTCAAGCCTATCAGAAGATGGAGGATGGGAGAAGAGAAAGCATCAGGAAAAATAACTAATGGGTCCCATGCTTAGTATATAGGTGATAAAATAATCTGTACAACAAACCCCCATGACACAAGTTTACTTACACAACAAACCTCAACATGTACCTTTGAACTTAAAAAGTAAAAAAAAAAAAAAAAAAAAAAAAAAAAAAGAAGAAAACTATAGCATTTAGGGATATTTTTATATCCATTTTCACATTGGCAAGACATGCCATCTTGACTTTTGGAGGTGTTTTATCAACTTCCAAATCAATGTGCATATTTTCTAAAATATTTAAGCCATCATAAAATATTTGGATAATTTAAAAAATAAACACAGCATGAGAAAAATTTTACTATTTAAACAAAGGAGTAAATTTAGTATGTGAGATATCTAAATAGAAATGAGTCTGGAGCCTGGAAGAGGGTATTTAAAAGCAAATATGGAAGTCATCATGAAGAAAGAAGGAAAGGAGGGAGGAATTAGGGAGAAAGAAGTATAGAGAGAACAGAAAGGAGACTATGTCATGAAACATGGAATAATCTAAGAAAATGCGTTTCCAAAGGCTGGTGAGTGATAGTTAGGTCTTAACTTTTTCAAAATCTTTTACTGAAACTCATTCAAAAATATATTACATACTTATTTGTCTGAGTTAATAGGCTATAATAAATACAATTTAACTTTTCATGATGGCTCACAGACCCTATTCTGCACACTGAATACTATATCACACCTAAGACATAGACAAGGCCAGATGGGGAGATCCCCCAGAAGAAGTCCTAGAGCCCACTTTCTGACACGTCTGTGGTGTCAGTCTGCTCCTTAGTCAACTGTCCTAAACACCGAAATGAAAGATTTATTATTTTACAGCTTTTAGATCATAGTTTCATGAAAAATCTTATTCAAAATTAATTATTGAATCACAGATAAAACCAGTTTTTCCTCAAGCACTTTTCTTGTCATCCAAAAATCGTCATTAGTGTTTACTAATTTAGCAGCATTAAAATGTCTATTTTTATTACATAATTGAGATGGTGGCTCACATTCAGTCCATTCTTTTCTCTCATTTGCAATAAGTTTAATGTTGAGACATGGATAAGGCATAAACCTCATTATTCTAAAAAATAGTGCTTAAATGTACTCATAAAGGCCTTGTTCTAAAGGCTTCATCATAGTCATAAAAAGAAGACATTTATAGAAATACAGAAATAAGGTACAGTGCCATAGCCTCCAAGTCCCTACCAATTGTTTTATCAGAATTATAGGCTCATATAAATTTAAAGTCTCATTTTTTATGTTCTAAAAAGAGCAGAAGATCTATTAAAATATTTCTATTACAGATAAACTTTTTCTGTCATAACTTCTCACATTCTGAGTAACCTCTTGGACTGCAGATTGAAGGAGGAGAGAAGACGACAACAGCAAAATATTAGCAGGCACTAACCTCTTTCTTCGAGGTGATCTTTACATTTATCTAAAAATACAAATAGTTTCACTCTCCTCATAAAGTTGTGTATCTTAATTCTTATGGCATATCGACACACTTAAACGTATGATGGAATTAATAGTAAACAAATGTTTATCTACACATGTGTTACCGGGTCTGTATGCCAGTCTCTAGGTTCCATTAAAATTCCTTCTTGCTAGAAGGTCTATTTGAAGAGTGATTGCAGTGTTAGTATGTTTGAGGATAGTTATTTTACCCTTTTTCTATTAAACCTGGGGCTGGCTGTTTCACTGGATCCCACCGGGAAGAATTAGGCGTACATTGATAAAATCTGTTTTCTATTACTACACAACATTTTAATAAATATACTGCTTCCAGAATGTCAGAAATTTCAATGAACCTCATTGTTACATAGGCTGGCTCTAATAACTTCTAAATGTGTATGTGCAGCTTAAGCATCTGAGCCGAAGACATCTATATCCAACCACCTATTCAACACTGACATTTCCAGAGGACGGCTACAGGCATCTTAAACTTCCCATGTTCAAAACAGAGTACTAGACTCCCTGTACCACAACCCTGACCGTACTCCAGTCCATTCCATCTCTTTAACTGCCACCACTGCTACCAGTTGCTCAAGATAAAAACCCTTCATGATCCTAGATTTGTGCTCCCCTCAAACCCCACGGCAACAGTAAGTCCTACTGGCACTACTTCCAGTATACATCCTAAATTCTGACTACTTCTCACCATAAACAGTGATAAACCTTGGTCCGAGCCATCCTTATTGATTTGCTCCTACTTGCCTACCCTGTATCTATCCTTCCTTTGTTCCGTACTAACGGAACTTGGATATTCTTCAGAGGGGAAATGCAACCAGCTAAAGAATCAGCCACATTTCCCAGTCTGCCTTGAAGCTAGGCATGGACATGTAACAAAACCTGTCCAGTGAAATATAAGTGGAAGGTGCCAAAAGGCCATTTAAAAGAAGGCTACAGCAGATACTGTGGGTATCCTACACATCCCTGATGGTGACCACTTAAGGACTCATGCCTGGTTTTTTGTGTATAAAACTTTCATTCCTTTGCCTCAGTGCATTCTCTTGCTGCTAGAGTCCTCCTCTTTGCTGCCTGTGACAGGTCAGAAGTGACAGAGAATTAAAGCCCTCCCTGGAACAGCTTTGACAATGACTGCAGTTACTGGTGTATAAATACTCACGTTTTCCTTGGCTGGGAGAGCTCTTGGAGGGTGTGACTTGTGGTGGGTTCCAGAGATTCCCCGTCAGGATTTGACTCAGTCACCCACAGTGGTAGCTGGTAACCTGCCTTTCCGGTTTCACTTCCTATTCCCATATGAAGTAGGCTGAAAAATTGTCCCCAAAGATAATCAGGCCCTAATCCTGTAAACTGTAAATGTTACTTAATTTGGAAAAAAGGGTCTTCACACAAGTTAAGAATCTTGAGATGGAGAGATTATCCTAAATTATTTCCATGGGCCCTAAGAGAGAAGCAGTGGGAGATTTGACACACAGAGAAAAAGAGGAGATGAGGACGAAGTAAAGAAAGATCTGAAGATGCTGGCCTTGAAGGTTGGAGTCCACATGTCAAGGAACGCAGGCAGTCACCATAAGTTTGAAGAGACAAGGAAAACCCTAGATCCTCTAGAGGGGGGCAATCCTACCAACACTTTGATTTTAGCCCAGCAATACTGATTTTGGGCTTCTGGCCTTTTAACCTGCGAGTGAATAAATTTTGGTTGCTTTAGGCCACCAAATTTATGGCGATTTGTTACAGTACCATAGGAAACTAATAAACCACATCTTTAAGAGACAGGTCTCATTCTGTCACCCAGGCTAGCTCAGAGTGGAGCAATCATAGGTCGCTGCAGCCTAGAACTCCTGCACTTTTAACAACAGTTGCTATAATCCTGTTATACTAAGAATTTTGTTTGAAACTCAGCAGACCCTCCTAGACCCAAGATATTACTATATATATGACTAATAGTAACCTCACTATCTAAATACTTACAGTATCACCCATACCTACCTGTATCAGTTTCTTTTCATGCAGCTGATAAAGACATACCTGAGACTGGGAAGAAAAAGAGGTTTAATTGAACTTAAAATTCCACATGGCTAGGGAGGCCTCAGAATCATGGTGGGAGGTGAAAGGCACTTCTTACATGACAGAGGCAAGAGAAAATGAGGAAGAAGCTCAAGTGATCCCTCTGCCTCAGCCTCCTGAGTAGCTGAGACTACAGGTGTGTGCCATCACACTCAGATAATTTTTTTTTTTTTTTGGTAGAGACAGGGTCTTGTTATAATGCCAAGTCTGGTCTCAAACTTCTGGTGCCAAGTGATCCTCCTGCCTTGGCCTTCCAAAGCACTGGGATTCCAGGTGTGAGCCACCACACCCAGACTACACTGTATCTTCATATCCCAAATAAACAATGTGTATCCAAATCCTTATCTCAGAACTGGCTTCTCTAGGAACCCAAAATAAGAATGCTCACACACACTGTTGTTTTTACCCACTGCCTTTTCTCCGCTTCCTTCTTGGAAGGCAGATGTGACGTTGCAGATATTTCAGCTATCTTGTAACCATAAGGTGACCACAAACAGCTGTATGCAACTGTATATGCAGGCAGCTTCACTTGGACATATAACAAACATCTTCACTTGGACATACAACAGGCATCTCAAATCAAGCTTGCATTTTCTCCAACATTCCTTATTTAATAAATGACAATTTTGTCCCTTCCAGCTGTTAGGCCAAAAGTCTTTGGACCATCCTTTCTTCATCATCTTCTCACACACTCCATATCCAATCCAGGATCTATAACATTGTCAGCTCTCTCATGAAAACAAACCCATTTGTCACCATGTCTATGTCTATTAACCTGATCCACTGTCATCTCCCACAGCTTAGCTTGTCTGGCTTTTCCACCTTAACCCTCCTATGGTCTATTCTTCCCATAGCAACTAGAACAAGGTTTTCAAAATATTAAGTCAGAAAATGTCACTTTTTTGCTCACAGTCCTCCAGTGACTTCTCATTCTACACAGTGAAATCTGAAGGCTTGACTAAAGTCTGCAAGTCCCTTGAGGACTTGGAGCTATTTGCCTTTCGGAGGTCATCTCCTACAACTTTCCCCCTTGCTTCCTCCTCTCTAACTGGCCTCTTTCCTGTTCCTTGAAGACATCAATCGTGTTCCTGTCACAGATGCTTTGCTTTGCTGATTCCTCTATCTTGAATGCTGTTCCCCCAGATATCCAGATGTCTACATCTCTCACTTTTTTAGGTCTTTCTTCAAATGTCACCTAACCAGATTTACTCTGTAACTCTCCATTCTCACACCTGCTTACCTTTTCTTCATTGTGATTATTACGGCCCCCCAACATAATATAGACTTATGTATTTGCTATAATCTGTTTCCCTCCAGTAGATTGTAAGCTCCAATGAGGTCTCTAATACCATTGTAGAGCCACAGTATCTAAACTTCCCACCTCCAGAAAAATAGGAACCTTAATCTCCTTGGATATTATATTATGAACTTCTGGTTTTTATTTTGATTTTGTGCTTTAACAGACTTCTTCTGACAATGCTCCAGCAGGGGAATGGAATGCCACCTCATTACTGCTGGAGAGTGGTGGAAGTTCAGGTTCTTGACTTGGCCTCTGCTGCCATTTGGAGGGAGGAACTCCTCATTACTGCTGGGTGGGGGTGACAGTTCAGGCCCCCAGTAGCTCTGTGCTGATACCACCTTGGCTGGGAGGGGTAGAGATGCCTCATTACTCTTTCCCACATGGCCTCCTCTGACACTGTGTGAAGTGGGTTCCCTCATTATCATTAACACTCAAAGTGTCTTGCTTTCCTTTGCTATCATAAGTCTCCCATGGGGTTGTTGGTAATTTGAGGCAAGATTTGGATATTCCCGAGTCCCTGGGCCATTGCACCAATTATGCCTGATATGCCACCTATTTCTAATATTGGCATTTGGATAGCCTCTATGGGTAATTTGACTAGCTGTCCTTTATGAGTCAGCTGTTTTGTTGATCCATCTTTTTTTTTTTCCTATTCTTGAACCATTTTAAGCAGTCTATAACTTGAGGATTTAGAAGATTAGCATAAAAGTATTTGCATTTTTCCCTTTCTCCTTTTTAGAGAAAATTTGGAAACAATTTCATTGTGTGGATTCTATAGTGCACCTAGCTCTGTGCTGGCCATGTTGTCCTCTAGCATTTGTACAGATTATAGGTATAGGTACTCCAATGCACTATGGGTTGGCCAGCGGATGTCCCCAAAATGGCTATGCCATATATGTTTGTGCTCTAATATGACAATGTGTGAAACATATTTCTGTCATTCTATAACACTTTCTATTATAAGCATCAACAACAACTTAATAATTGCTTTTAGAGGTAAAAGGGAATAATAGCCAAATGTATCCTCTGATTTCAAGGCACAACCTAAATAACATTAAACGGTGAAAACAGTGAGTCTTAGTATGTTACCCTGGGAGAGTCCATAAAAGCACATGGGTCTGCTTTGTCTCTGGCTAAAGCCATTCCTACATAACCATACATTCTCCAATTAAAAAGACAAATCCTCAATACCCCAAGTGCACCTATGAAAATTATCCTGAATTCTCTTCATTTTTCACACCCTGCTTTCATACAACCTCATTTCTACCTAATTCTCAACTCTTGATTCACCCCTTCTCTAATCTTTTGAAATTGGTATTTATATTTCATTTCCCTGTTGTTTTGACAGTTTATTGCCTTTAATAGGCTGTCATTTCAGTTCACTCATTCATTGAACAAATGTTGACTGAGCCTGGAGCACTGGTTCATGCCTGAAATTCTAGCACTTTGAGAGGCCAAAGTAGGAGGATTGCTTGAGTCCAGGAGTTTGAAACCAGCCTGGGCAACATAGTTAGACCCTACCACTACAAAAGACAAAACAAAAAAATAGCCAGTCATGGTGGTGTGTACCTCCTAGTTACGCAAGAGGTTCAGGTGGAGAATTGCTTGAGCTTGGGAGGTTGACACTGCAGGGAGCCGAGATCACACCACTGCACTCCAGCCTGGGTGACACAGCAAAACCCTGTCTCAAAAAAAAAAGTTGACTGCATATTTACCCTATGGCAGGCACTGTGCTTGTCCCTGTGGTGTGACAGAGGAGAAGACAAAACATTGCTGAACATAGCTGGGGCCCCTGGAATATGCTGGCCTGCAGTGTTAAAGGACTAACTTTTTAATGTTCTTATCACCACTGATACTTGTGTTGCTCCTTCCCGTGCCAGCTTTTCTGTTTTTGTTTGTATTTCTACTTTTCTTTCTGCTTCTTGAGATCAAGGAGGGTACAACTTTTATACTAACTGCTGTCCAATGAGACTGCTTCTTTCTTTTGGGGAGAGAACTAACACACTCATCACATATCTGTACTATTCATGTTTTTAGCACTTCTCTGTTTTACCAGTGCTCTGATTAGAGGCTCACAAAGTTCCAGGTGGTTACAAGGTGCCATACAACTAAGCACCACAGACAACCAGGTCAGGTTAGGTGGGTATGCACCTGACGTACATATCTACATTCACACGTATCAGATTTTAAGAAAATATAACTTGTAACTAATCTTTTGTAAACATTTTCCTGTAAAAAGTATCTGCAAATTTATCCAACACAGTGGTACTTTTTCATCTTTCCTTAAAGTTACTAGCACCTTGATTAGATCTCTTGTAGAAATCTTCTCTTCCTTTATTTCCTTCCTCCCTCTCTCTCCTTCCCAATAACTTTCCTTCCTTTCAAAATCATGCATTCAATTCCTACAATCACTCAGCACTGCTAACATTTCAGAATCTACCTTCAAGTTTGACATATCAGGATTCTAACGCAGATGTACTTTACTTTGTCTTCTTCAGAGATACAAGAAACTGGAAGAACTTGTCCAGTTTGATTACTCTGGGGAAGAATATATGTGTGTAGGGGAGGGGGTAAGTAAAGTAAGAAGAGGGGGAGAGTAAGGGGGTATAGTCTGAATTAACCAGAAAGCAAGGGAGTTAACCAAATTTAAAAAGGATTTTCAATGTGTAAATTTAATATATTTCTATAATTTGTTAAGGTACCAATATATTCACTCACATCAGAAAAATCAGATTTTATTTTACATACTGTAATTAAAACTGTATTTAACTCATTAAGAACCTGGTAAGTGAAGTTATGATTCTGAATTAATATATCTCAGAGGGAAAGAACACCTGAAGGGTTAAGAAAGATGCACACATAGAAGAGTATAGTTTTAAAGGACCTTTTGAATCATATATAAGAAGTTATTTAATATTCATCTATCCTGGTTCTTTGAA